ATACAGGTTGAGTAGGAGAGCAGGCAAGCAAGCAGACTGATGGTACTAATTTTGAATGCAGCATCAGTTCAGTTCTCCAGAAGCAAAGCATAATGTGTATGGTTCCTTCCCGCTAGCTCATATCTCCCTTGCCAGAGAAACATTCCAACTCTTCTAGCCTCCACCCGTATGTATGTGGTGTGCCACAAAAATTACCTCCTGCCATAAATACTTACTCGAGCAACGCTTTCTGGCTAGCAAAAGCGATTGAGCAGAACATCTGCAGCTGGCTCTAGAAAAGTCCACTGACCATTAGCAAACAGTCCACTGTTCAAAAAGATTATCTTCTCTCGTAGCTTTGACACAGTCCAAAACAGTCCTTTTGTTTCACCATCATTTGGAGAGCTGCAAACGAGTTGCCTTTCCGTGTCATTTGGGAAGCGATGAACAAGTTTCCTGTTTAACACTTTGAATATCATTTTCTGGAGCACAAAGGACTTTCTGGGCATGTGCAGGACAAGAGTTCTTGTGCCAATACAGAGTTCTGCAAATATTTAAGAGATTGAAGTCTAGCCAGATGGACTTGGGAATCAGATCAGAAATGCATGAGTCTGGGTTGCCTGTTACTTGTTTCATTGTTTCTTATCCCGTGTATTTGTGTGTTTCTCATCTCATGTTCAGGCTTAATTCCACAGCATTTAGAACTACAGAGCTCCACTGGGGCAGGCTGGGGGAGAAAGACATTTTTGACAGGGCTTGTTTTTTCATTTCATGAACTTCCAAAGCCAGCAATACATATCTAAAAGTACTGATACTGCAATCACCCCCCTGCGGCTTTGGCATTTCAGACCAGAGTAGGAATTCAGCCAGGTATCAGCACACGCTCATACTGTCCCTGCTATTGGGTTTGTGAATGTGTGTTGAGTGAGGCAACACCTTCACTGAGGGATCTTTCCCGTGTGCCTTCCGTGTTTAGAGAATGGCTACATAGCAGTATGAGCCAGAACCAGCTTGCTGTATAATCTAGAGATCCATGATGCAATTATATTTATTTGTAAACGATGTAGCTAGATTTGGGATCAATATAACCAATCTGGGGGAGTAGGGAGGGAATAAAAGGTTGAATATCCGATACAATGGCCACACTTTACTTGTAGTGCTCATACAAACTATGACTTAGGGAAGGGGGGGGGATGTACAGGGACATTGTATAATATTTAGTTTCCATATAACTCTACTATATGGAAAAAGGGACAGAGTTGGGTGGAGAAAGAGAGGACGATGAAAGCAAATAACATGCCTGCCAAGCTTAATTGCAAAACACATAGCAGATTATAAGACTGCATCTGATCTTATTGGTTGTAAGTCATTTTGGGTAGCTTTGCGCAATGACTAACAAATGCAATCATCATCGTTGTTGTATTTTTGTTATTTCAGAACCTAACACAAAGAATGACATTTTAAAAATAAAATTCTTACTTCCTTTTCTGCTGTCTCTGTTTTTCTTGTGTACAAATGTGCGAATGAAAATTAAGAGTTATGCTGACGCAGCCCATTAGCCCATCTATCTCCATATTGACTGACTGTCTGGCAGCAGTGACTGCACTGACTGGCAGCAGCTCTCCAGGGTTTTAGGCAGTGAGTCTTTCTTAGCTTTGCCAGATTTGCTTTCCCAGATTTGCCCATGATTGAAGCTGGGAACTCCTGCATGCCAAGCATGTGCTCTGTAGCCCTTCTTATTGAATTCCATTTCGGCACATATTTCACTTCTCTATTTCCAACATAAGCCTTCACATATCCCTGGTTCCACCCCTTCCCTAAGAATCCTGGGGGACATAATTCAGGGAGTTTAAGGTATCTAACAGAGAAATCTCTGCATTCCCACTGAACTACAGTTCCCAGTGGTTTCTTGTGGTGAGCTGCAAAAATGATGGTGATGCTATACTTATTTATACAGCACTAATCAGGGTGCTTTGCATAAATTATCCTAACAGTATCCGTATAAAGTGGGTCCCTATGCTGCAGGTGGGGAGGCTGAGAGAGAATGGTTTGCCTAAGGTCATCCACTGAATTAGGGGCAGAAGTGAGATTTAGCTGCTTTACTACATCAGTTCTTAAGTTTATATTAGCAGCTCAAGTTTGGGTCTGTTTGTTCTTCACACTGGGGTGACCTCTTTCCCCTTGGCAATATGAAACCCAAGGTACCATTTCCAACTTCCAAGATGAGAATCCTGCTCCCAAAGAGACTATCTTTGACTAGTTTGTGTCTTTCAAAAAGTATTTGTTTATCACCCTTCGCCACTAGCTAGCCAGGTTTCTTGAAAGTCTGCATAGTTATCCTGGGATGGTTTTCATCACCTTGCAATTTTGCCACTAATGATTTACTTCCGCTGCCATTTCTTGGGGTCTCTCAAGAGCTTCTTAGATCCTATTTTCTGCCCAGGCAACAGTGTGTCAATGGCCGGAAAATGGACACTGCACACACGACCATTCCTGTTAATTTATATACCACCAGGAAAAGCACATTTCTTCCTTGCACCTGTGACCTGTCAACGCCATGCTGTTGTTTTACGGTGCTCAAAGTGGATCTTCCTCTTGGAGGGCGAATTGTTCTAGCAGCCAGCTGTTCGTCCGTGTTCTGTACTTATGAGTTCCTCGTACAGTCCCAGGTGTTTATGCTTGAAAAAACAATTAGGGATGGAGAAATAATTGCAAGTTGCCCTGAACCAACCTCCCCATCTGTTAGAAGACTGCTCCAGAATTGGCAGTTCTTCCTTCTCTTTGCCACCTCCCTTCAAGAATGGGACTCCTTGCATTTGCAGCGTCTTCTGCAACTGACAATGACTTGCTCCTGTGTGGATTTGGCTGCTTTCAAACTTCTGCTGTGCCTCCGAGGACTACTTGGACAGCTTATCCCTCCAGGTCTCTCTAGCTGGTCCTCAGGCCTCTCCTTAGCCACAGCCCCTCTCTCCAGGCTGCCCCCTAGACAGTCCCTGAGCCAGCCTCCTCGGATGCTTTTGCTTGGCTGGCACATATCCTTGAATTCACATAACGCATCTTGTTTGCCTGGATGGAGTACAGAGAAGGGAGTGTCGAAAGTACCCTAATGTGAAAAGAGTGGAGTTTTCCATTTGTTGCTCTACGCACTTTTGTCTCTGGCCCCACCTGTTCTGACATGTGGCCCCACAAAGGTTGCCCAGAAAGGAATGTGGCCCTTGGAATGAAGATGGCTTCCTGTCTCTGGATTAGATTAGTACTTCCCAAACTTGGGTCTCCAGCTGTTTTTGGACCACAATTCCCATCATCCCTAGCTAGCAAGACCAGTGGTCAGGGATGATGGGAATTGTAGTCCAAAAGCAGCTAGAGACCCAGGTTTTGGAAACACTCGACCAGATGGTGGGAGTGATCCTTTTCAAAGCAAAGATGGTCATGCTATTAAACCACAAAAGTTGATTCCACATTTGTGTGTGTTTAAATCTGCTGTACAATAAACCTTGTGTGACAAACGTAAGTGTTAGACCAGTCTTTGCTAACCTGGTGCCCTCCAGATGTTATAACCTGCAATTCCCATCAGTTTCAGCCAACAAAGGCTGTGTAAAACACCTGTGAATTCAGACATGAAGGAGATATTAATCTTTGCAGTTTTGTCTCTCCTCATTCCCCACATACGTTTTTTCCTTTAGGATGCATATCTATCACCAAATAGCTGTGATGTCCAGCATGGTGAAATGGCCATCATAGATCAGACTCTCTAGGTCAGGGGTCAGCAACTTTTTTCAGCCGTGGGCCAGTCCACCGTCCCTCAGACCATGTGGTGGGCCGGACTATATTTTTTGGGGGGAATGAACAAATTCCTATGCCCCACAAATAACCCAGAGATGCATTTTAAATAAAAGCGCACATTCTACTCATGTCAAAACACCAGGCAGGCCCCACAAATAACCCAGAGATGCATTTTAAATAAAAGGACACATTCTACTCATGTCAAAACACGCTGATTCCTGGACCGTCTGCGGGCCAGATTGAGAAGGCAATTGGGCTGCATCTGGCCCACGGTCCTTAGGTTGCCTACCCCTTCTCTAGGCAAAGCCTACCAAGTGTCTGGCATTGCCTCAGTGGCATCTTTTTGCAAAGGACCTTTCATTTCCAGGTGCAAGAGCTAAGGGATGCCCATGCACACGTACATCTCCTTTTAGAAAGCAGCTGCGGGGAAAGTAACATTGGAGTTGGCTTTGTGGTCTTTGAATTTCCAAAGTCCTGTCTTTCCTTTTTTCTTTTTGTATTGTTGGCTTATACCAGGGCTGAGAAATGCTACGAACCTGGGTGTCTATGAAGTTCAAGTGGGCATCTAGGCATTTGGTAATTTTCTCCCCAGAGCTGCAGAGGATTCAGGAAACAGCACAGCAAAACAAGTGGGTAGACCCAGCCACATGCAGCCAGGAAAGACACATGACTTATGCATGGACCTTCAAGTTGGTCATGCTAGCAGAGGCATTTGATGTGGTTGACTCTTGAGTTATTCAAGTGTATCATTGCTGGGCTTTTGCCTTTGAAATGTGCTACCAGTGTTCTTACATTATGCATAAGGAAGAGCTACAAAATGTATAAAATCTCAGCCTTTTATACTAGTCCAAGACCATTCAAGACAACTTTTATCTCTTTGCCATGAAAGACCTTTCCAGATGCTCTGGGTTAAAATCCCACCTCAGTCATAGACTTGGTAGACAAGTAATAGAAATTCAGGGATCACAATTCATTGGCACTCAGCCTCAATTCCCTAAGTATGTAACAGTAGCAGCGTACCTAGCATGGAGATTGCAAGAAGTAACCAAATAAATATGGTAAAGCGCACTTTATGTTAACAGAATTCTATAAATTAATGGCGATTTAATGAAATCTCTCTGCATGCAGTTAGATCTTTTATATATGTATATATAAATTGGGGCTGGTTGTCTGCTTTGGAGTTGGATCAATATGCCTTTCTATACTCACACAAGTCCTTTGCGTTCTCTTTTTTTTAGTGATGGGCCCAGTTCGAGAGAACTTCCAGGGGTACCAAGGTGAATGAAGCCAGTGCAACATGTTCAGCGTAGAGGATCTCCTGATTTCCCATGGATACAAATTGTCTAAAAACCCCACCAATTCATATGAGAACAGAACTGATGGATTCCAGCAAGAGATCACAGATAGGAGAGTTGGTCATAGAACTGTGAATGGGTTCCCGACAAACTCTGGAGCCAATGTTGGCAGCGAGAAGACAGTAGCTAAAAGCTACCTGAATGACAATGAAGCTAGGCATGCCATCCAAGGGAGGCAGCTGGGTCCCAGTTACCATAAAGACTTCTCGAGTTTGGCTAATACTCATGCTTCAGAAGGACGGTAAGATCCCCACTTCCCAGGTTTTCTTAGACATGTGCAAAGCCAAGCAAAAGTCTCAGTTTAGCTTTCCAACAGCCTTGATTATGTTAAGAGCAACTATTAATTTGTTCTGCTTGTGACCACCTCCAGCCTTGACAACCAGTGGTTGTTTTTGCTAATAACACCCTCTTTGTGTCTAGCCCTTAATCAGAACAGGACAGAGAGAGACTTTGGAAACATCCAAACCATCTCTAAATAAGTGAGTTTCTTTGCTTATTATGCAATCAGTCTGTTGGTGGTTCTAAGTGAGTATCTCAGTAAGATTGTGATGCAGAGGATGCCCAGTCGGAGATTGGATTTTTTTGACTTGGCTTGTCAAAAGCTTGGAGGACAGGGGGAAATAAGAACTGAGGAATGTAGGATGGTATGAACAGCTGTCTCATTCCATTGGTCCATCGAGTTCAGTATCGTCTAAACTGATTGGCAGGTGCTCTCCATGGGTTGCAGGCAGAAGACACCCCATCCTTACCTGCAATGCAGGGGGTTGATTCCTGAGATCTTCTGTATGCAAAGCAACCAGTGCGGTCAGGCCAGGATTGGTGTTGTATGCTCAGACCGTCCTTCTACCATGAGCAACCTGGCCGCTGAATTCTGCGCCAGCTGAAGTATCTGAATCATCTTCAGAGGTTCCTCTTTTAAATTAATACTTGATCAATGCCATTAATCAGTTAGTGCATTTTGCATAATGAGCTTTAAAAAAATGTTACAGGAGTATAATGGGTAGATAAGAGAAAGAGAGAAATTGCTTGGGGAACCATATTGAAGTAAAGAAAGAAACCATTATTATTATTATTATTATTATTATTATTATTAACAATTGTGCCCCACCCATCTGACTGGGTTGTTCCAGCCACTCTGGGTGTCTTTTTCTTAGTACATATTTTACCTTAGTACAGGAGTACAGGTAGATTCAACCCAAACTCAGCCTTTATATGTTGCCACCTTTTAGGGCGCAGACGTTCCTTTTAAATTAGTTTCATACCAGTGAAGTCAGCTGTGTGTGTTCTGTCCAAAGAGGGTCATCTTTTCTCAGGAGCATTTGCAGAAGGTCTCGTGAAACTTAACTCCACCCTGTGGATAGCTTTGTCACCACTTCAGAAAATGGTGCTGCTACAGTTGCGCTTCCCTGCGGCCGACTGTCCATGCACTTTTGAACTGGGACAAATCGTCCTGGAAGGGTGTGTGTGTGTGTGTGTTTGTGTTTGGCGGGAGACACATAGCAACTCCGCTTTGGCAGCTGTCTGCCAGCAACAAAATTTTGAACAAAAGGAAAGGCGGAGATTATTTTAAGGGACAAATGCTGAAAATACAGGTTGTGCTCAGACAAAAATGGAAACAAGCACTCCGGAACAAATGCTTTCTCTCTCTCCCACCCCACTGTCACTCCTTCTGCTAATGCAGGACTTTAAAAGTGTTTCGATCCTGGTTAAGTAAATGGAACCCATCTCTAGGTTTCAGTGCAGTGTTTTCCATCACTTTTTTCTTTCTTTCTGTTTTTTTAATGTGGAAAGCAGTTTGTGCAAAATGACCTCGATGCAAAAAGAGTGACAGCTCAAGATAGATAGAGCTCATTTTCAAGTCTTCCCTCTCCTGTTGTCATTCTGGGGAAAGGCTGCAGTGGGTAGTTAAACTATGGCACTCACTCCCACTGAAGGCAGCAATGGCCACGACTCAGATGGCTTTAAAAAAACGGATTGGACAAATTGGAGGAGATGGCTATTGATTGCTGCTAGTCGTGATGGCTGTGTTTCACCTTCATCACTAGAGGCAGTAATGCCTCCGAATACCAGATCATGGAAACCACAGGAGAAGAGAGTGCTCGATTCCTGCTTGTGGGTTTCCCATAGGCATCTGGTTGAAAAGGATGCTGGACTAGATGGTCTTGATCCAGCAGGCTCTTCTTTTATTCTTAGCTCACTAGTAGAGCATCTGCCTTGCACACAGAAGGTCCTGAGTTCAATCCTGGCAACTCCACGCGGTCCTGGGAGAGAGCCTGTGTAGACAGTGCTGAGCTAGATGGACCAGTGTTCTGACTCAGCTTCCCATGCCGTACGCAAACCTTAAGATTCAGGTAGCTACCTGTGTTGGTGTGACAAAGTCAAAATAAATAAAAAAATTGTCCAGTAGCACCTTAGAGATCAACTAAGTTTGTTCTGGGTATAAGCTTTTGTGTGCATGCACACTTCTTCAGATACTTATACCCAGAACAAACTTCGCTGGTCTCTAAGGTGCTACTGGACAATTTTTAAATTTTTTTTAATATTTCAACTGCGTCAGACCAACACGACTACCTTCCTGAATCATGGAAGGCACCACATTGAGCCACATGAAATGGAAGTCCGTCTGGTATCTGACGAAGTGTGCGTGCACATGAAAGTTTATACCCAGAACAAACTTAGTTGGTCTCTAAGGTGCTGCTGGACAATTTTTTAATTTATACAAAACCTTAAGATACAGAATGATCTGAAGGCACATGAGGATCCAGTCAGCAGTTGGACTAGGAGAACACCTGAGAATTCTCTGTGTGCCACCTTGAGCTCAGCTGAGGAAAGGCAAAATAACTAACAAATGCATCTTGTAGTAATCATTCCTCTCTTTGTTTCACCTTCTTGCTTCTGTGGATAGAGCTCTCCAGTCTTAGAGTAATATTTAGCAGGTCATAAAAACACACTTTCTACACCTTTTGATGGACTGTATTAGAACATCCTCTGACCTTTAATGAAATTGACACAAATGTGATAATTTCAAAATGCTGATGGTGGTCAATTGCACACTTCATTTAAGTGAGAGATCCTGGCTCTAATCCAAACCATACTAAGCATTCATGTTCATGGTGTGATTTTATTTATATAGCCTGGACTAATCTTGTACGTTGTTGACATGATCGTGCTCTCATTTCTGGCCCCTGGAAGGATGTAATTTTCCATCCTGAACATTTTGCCCAGATGATTTCATTTAATCTTTCTGATGAAAAATATATATTATTATCTCAGTTTGGTCTATGAACAGTTTTGCTTGATAGGATGAATCTAACAAAAGTGATTGAACAGTGCTTAGAATGAGGATTATTGGCAGCCAGATGTGTATGTGTGCATTTCATTTTTTTAAAAAAATAATCTTTTTTGGGGGGCGCATTACATTTTCATTTTTGAATATTTCTGTTTTTAAGAGGAAAGGAGTCCTTGGGTTCCCCATCCATGGACAATTCTTCCTCTCACTCACGAACAACCTCCACACATTTGGATTGACAGGAATGGAAGAAAACGATCCTATCTGAGCTATATTCTTACCCTGTCAGTGAAGTTTGATATTTCTTTTGGCTTATACTCAATGGCAGTTACATGTCTGATCCTCCAATGTGCAGGAATACTAACAGTGCATCTTGATGTGCTATAGAGAGTTGACAGTTTTAGGAATTTGTATGGATTTCTCGCTAAGAGACAACTCATAAGTTGTAGACTTCCAATGCAGAAATCACTTCCATGTTAAGAAATACCATAAAGTTTTGGAAATGTGATTATGCAAAGGAATGTTATGCATGCAGTTTTACAACATGTATGCACTGCAGTAAAAGAAAATGTCTTGTAAGCAAAGAGCTCTTTTGTAGTTCCTCATAGAAAGATCACGTGCATCATATCTGTGGGGATGTTGGGATTAGAAACAAGCTCATGATTCTGGGTGGCAGAGATTCTATTTTTAATTATGGAGGAAAAGAAAGCTTGTTTGTTTGTTTGTTTTTGTATGGGCCTCTTTAGTAAGATTTCATTTTGTTTTGCAGGTTTTATGACCGACCGCAGTTAGCCTGGCCTTCACGTCCCAAGACGGATAAAGATCTTGCCTACTGGAGAAGAAGGGGCCAAGATTTTAGCGTACTGTTGGGTTATACTGACAGAGGAGACTCTGAAATGAAAGGCATGGCAGTGCCCTGTGCCTTGTATGGGCTTGATAAGGAAAGTCAGTGGGAAGTAGGAGGTGGAATGGAGAATGTGAGGAGAACTGGCATGCAGGAGACCATGAATGCCCCTGGGGACTACAGGTGGCAAAGTCTAAGGACAGAAGGTTGGACCCAACCAACCAACTTTGGAGGACTCATGACAGATGGTGACAGAGAAAGGCTGCTTCAAGAGATGTATTCGGTGAGACGAGGAGGTACTGCCATTGCCTCCCATGCGAAGGGGAAATCACAATCTTTGCCAAGAGTTCTTTCACCAGAGAGCCTGCGGTGTGTTGAAATGCCTTCCTTGGTCAACAGCAAGCATTCGCTCCATGGAACTAAAGCGACATCTTGCCCCCCAAGTGGGTTCGGCTTGGAGACCTCCAAACACCCTGAGCCAGTGGCCCACTTCCATCCCTTGCCCAAGCCTAAGTACGGCAGACCCCTGAAGCCCCCGTCATACGAGCTGCATCAGCAAACCAGGGGAAACCTAGAAGCCGGCTCGCTCCAGGATGACCAACAGAAAGATGAAGCCATCTCCTCTTTGACCAAAGCAAACGATCAGATCCAGGATGCTTGCAGCCAAGATGCTGGTCTGGAGCCCCCTTTGTACATACCCCCTCCCTGTTACAAATCTCCAGCTCAGCAAAGTATGAGCCGGCCTTTGCCTGGTGAAGTGCCTGACTATGATATGTGCTTTAGTAATGGTATGCAGAGTCCAGTGGAGAGAACGAGAGCCATGCTTGGTTACCATCCCTCTGCTAGTACCTACTGCAAAGGTGAGCAGGTTCCTCGTGACAAGAAAAGCCACCTGAGGCATGGGGAGGGCTACCTGTCTTCCGTCCAGTACATTCCTTTTGATGACCCTCGAATCCGGCATATTAAAGTAGCGCACCAAGACAGTCTTCAGGACGATGAGAAATACGCTGTGGATAAAAATAGGACAGGCTCCCATGCCTTCCAAGAGAGCTCTCTGGAACGAGAGTACAACAGTGCCTTTTTGGACTCTCTAAATACTGCTGTGAAATGTGACCAGGTCCCTGGCAGTTCTGCACACGGCGGCAAGTGGCTAGCTGAGTCCAGCGTCGATCAAGACGGTTGTGCCTTGCCTATCCAAAGAGACGGTTATGACGCAGGTAATGGCTTGGATCACAGATACCCAAAAGGCAGGCTGTCTGTCCAAAGCTCACAGATGGAAACCCCCTGCGAGACCGTCACGAAAGTGAAAACGTTTGAACCTGGGACTGAGATTCAGAGCAAGAGGAGTTCAAAGAAAAAAACCAACGAGACAATATTTTGTTTGGTCTCCGTCCCAGTTAAATCTGAACTGAGCCTGCCTGATACCGATAGGAACAACAACTTAACCCAGGGAGCCGAGGAGAAGAATGGGTTTGACGATAGCGGGGGTCTGCAGGAACAAAGCCTCCTCAGTACCTCTTCCACGGACTTGGAGCTCCAAGCCCTTACAGGAAGCATGGCCAATAAGAATGAGCTACAAAAACAGGAGTTGTGGTGGAGACCAGAGTTCAAACAAACGAATGACCTCAGATTCCTGCAGCCTGCAAAGCACAAGGAGCTCCAGTACTCTGGCTCATGGCCAGGTGATCAGTACAAAGACCAGCAAACGCAGACCAGCTTCACAGAAGAACCCAAAATCTTGTGTCATCGTCTCCAATGCTTAGAACCCAGCAGCTCAAATACTGTGACAGCTTCGCAGTTGTCAAGATGTGGGGCATCCACTGCGGAAGCAGAACATCTATCTGTGTTACATGCCGATGACAGAAAATGTAGGCAGGTTGCACTCAGTGCAAAAGCTCCAGGGTATCTTGACAAAGCTAGCAATAATGTGTGTTCTCGGACTGTAGTCCTTAGCCCAAAGGCATGCCAGAATCTGCCTTGTGCTTCATGCACCCCTCTCCCTGGGCAGGAAAGAGAAACTACTTGTCTCATCGGGGAGGAAGGAAGCTCCCCTTGCAGTAGTAAGGAGCTGTTTGGGCAGTTCCTCTTGAAACCTGTTAGCCGCCGTCCTTGGGATATAATAAGTGAGCTGGAAAGTTTTAACAAGGAGCTTCAAGAGCAGGAAGAACAAAGTGAAGATGGGGTAGAGAATGAGAGTGTGGAGAATGAGGACAACCAGGAGTCAGAAAGGGAGAAAGGAGAGAGGACAGATAGCAGTGGGACCTCTAGGATTGATGGGCCAACCCAGGACCATAGACCTGGCATGCAGTCAGAAACTGTTATATCAGTCACTCCTATATTTAGACAGGAGAGGGATAAAGCCAAACCTGAAAGTTTAAGTGCATCTGAAAGCTCACGTGCAAGGGTCATATCTTGTGCCAGGTCCCAAAGCTGCTTGCAGGCAAAAGAGGTGGGTAGTTCAGTTAAGGCCACAAATGAATATGTGGTTGCAGAATCAAGGAATCAGGAAGGTAGGAAAAGGACAATAAAACAGGTTGTGAGTCCACACCCAGTCGAAAAAGTTCTGCCAAGCAGCTATGACGATGAGGATCACTACAATCCATTCAACAGCATTAACTTCAGTGAGGAAATACAAGTTAAGAATCACAGAGACAACATCAACTTTGGTAGGCTGACAAAAAATGCAGTGCCATGGAATAACTTGGCTTTGGACAGAGGGTCTGTAGGGCGATTGTCTTTAACAAATAGGAACCAAGGTCTCTCTGAGCCAGATCTGAGATCTGTAGGGTTTGATGACGGTCAAGGACCTGAACTAGATAGTCATGGGAAACCTATCACCAGTGAGATCCCCCCAAATGAATCGCTTCAGGCAAGAGCAGCTCGGATATTGGGTATAGAGGTAGCTGTGGAGTCCCTCATTCCTGACAACAGCACTCTTCAAGATGAACACTCTCACTCTGACAATGTCCCCCAGAGCCTTGAATTGCCAGAAGAAAGCGTGTCGGAGGGCAAGGTGGAAGCAAAAGTATCTTATTACGAAGGAAGACGAAAGTGTGGCTGGACAGAAAGCTCCCTCTTCGTTGGAGACAGAAACATCTCATTGGAGTCTATTGAAGACCAGCCTTCCGGTCAAGCAGTTTTGATAGCTGAACAATGTTTTGAGCACCATGGAGGTCTTGGTAGACCCAAAGCTGACCAGACTCCCTCTGCCGTGTCTGTTGTGCTTCCATTTGCTGAAAGAAATATGGTTCCACCTGGTGTGGAAAAGAGAGCTAGATGCACTTCAAAGGTGATTGAGACCTTGCAAGGCAAACTTGCATCAGCCCCTAGCCGAGCTGCCATGGACCGTTTGGTGAGGATGAAAGAAGTTGACTCGGTCTCTCGTATGAGACGTCTAAGCATAAAAAATGCAGATTCGGTAGAGGATGGAGATGAGGATAAGCAGCTAAAAGGCCCGGAGGAAAGAGGAAGCGACATTTCCTTTGGCCGCAATGAATTGCCCCGCAAACTGTCCCATGGGAACTCTGTTTCCAAGCGCATCATCTCATTGGCTGAAAATGGGCTCTGGGACAACGTGAGTGAGAAGAAAACTGGAAGGGATTTCGTTTCTTTAGGTAAGAGCAAAATTCCTCCAGGGTTTTTGTGGTCAGCACTTTTGCTGGGTGATGATGGCTATACACTTCCTCTGAAGCCTCCTTGAAAAGAAAGGGCATTTTCCTGATCCATCTCAAATATAAACTTTGCAGCTGCCATTTAATTGCAAGCAAGTGTATAAGCAGAAAAAGCTGCCAGTCAGGGCCTAGAAAAATCCATGCCTGGCATGTTGTTTGATATGCACTGTTGGGAAAAATAAGACACTTTGATGCTGCCCAAAGGGAGGGAAGTGAACTTCGAAGATCTGCAAAAAAATAAAAGTTGTATATTTTAAGTGAATGGATAACCAGCTACGTAGGTACTGCAGAGGAATAATTGCATGTGATCTGAAATATGGGCTGGGTCTCCTCCCTCCCCAAGTGGTCTCCTCACTTCAGAAGACACTTAATCATGTTACAGCATAACTTCTAAGGTGACTATACATAGCACCTATAATTTTTAAAATGAAAGACTCTCTTTCCTTGGAGGTTTTTAAGCAGACATTGTCATGTATGCTTTGAAATTCCTGCATTGCAGGGGGTTGGACTTGATGACCCTTGGGGTCCCTTCCAACTCTACAATTTTATGATTATACGTTACAAAAAAGCCACCAATATCTGTGGTCTTAAGAATTCTCCAAATTGTCAGAACACCCTTCCGTTCTGCCACCCTTATCAACAGGTAAGCTGGTTTTTACCCATTTTTCTAAGCGGCCCAAATCTCTTGTTATTAATTTCATTTCTTATATTTCTATGCCGCTTTTCACTCGCACGAGTCATAAAGTGGCTCGCAAACAATAAATAACAAAAACATAATAGAACATCACAATTACAACATAAATCATATAAAATAATGCACAAATCATTAGTAAAACAACCACCTTCTATAAAACATTCTTAAAAAAACAACTTTAAAAATAGGCTAAACAGCACAACCACAAGTAAAGTTCACTTAGTTCATCAAAAGACATGCAAACATAATGGCCATGGCAGCAACTGCTTTCTGAAAGCTCCCAAGAGCTGGAAGGTGAGGCAAGGCAGGTGGAAAAATCCCTTGTCTGGTCAACAGAGAGTCCCATTCCCCTTACAGTTCTTCCTCTGGAAACAGCTCACATGAAGTACATTTTGATTCAACAAAACACTTTATTCCCCCTCTTGAATTTTAGGTAGGGTGTGCAGCTAAAAAGTTAACGAGTCCACTCTGAGAACATGATGCTAGGCTACATGGGCCTTTAGCCTGATCCAGTAAAGTTCTTCCTATTCTGCCCTCTTTCCAAAGCTCTGTATCCTGCACCATTACCAATTTGTGTTAAAATAGTTCCCATGGACCGGTTATCTCAGTTTCCCTCATTTTCCTTTTCCATGCTTGGAATCCTGAAGTCAACCTAGCTGTGCCATAAGAGAGCACCCCTTTTGCAGTGGCAGGCCTCCAGTCTGGCTGGAATGCCCAGCTACAATCAATCTGCAGGGCACTCACAGTTGCTTTTCTGTCTACAGTTGTACCATGGTTTTCGAACAGCTTAGTTCTTGAACGTTTTGGCTCCTGAATGCCGCAAACGTGGAAGTGACTGTTCTGGTTTGTGAACTAGTTTTGGAAGCCAAACATCCAACAGGGCTTCTGCGTCTTCCAATTGGTTGCAGGAGCTTCCTGCAGCCAATTGGAAGCCACGCTTTGGTTTCCAAACATTTTGGAAGTCGAATGGACTTCTGGGACAGATTCTGTTCTACTTCCAAGGTACGACTGTATTAGCTGTCTGCATTTATGTGACTGCTGGCATTCTGAATCAGTATGTAGAAAATGCTGAAAATATCAACATCATGGGAGGTAGGCTGTCGTCGTCATCGCCCCCCCCCCCATTTGTAAAACATGATGAATTTGTGAAGTTCCTTTCTTTGTAGTGGTTGGAGCTGAGGACAAAATTATTTCATGGTAGTGAGAAACAGAGAGAAAATATATCCGAGCTGCTTATGAAAGCTGCTGCTTGCCCTCTGTCAAAGCTCAATACCCAAATAACGAGTGGATCTGGAAATCTTTACTTAGGTAAATTATTCCTTATAAGGCTTTCTCTATCTACAAGGATATGGAAGTCATTATCCTCCAAAACGTAAAGTATTCTGTATAGTCTCATTTATCTGTTTACATTTCTTGAGTTACATTTTGATGGCAGCTGTGTGGATAGGGAGTGGTGAATTCTGATTTGAATGAAACAAACGTTAGCTTTCTGTTCATGTTTATTATTTTTTAAAAAAACCCCATCTCATAGTATTAAAATAGGCAGGTGCATAGATTAAAGCCAAACTACAAATGGAGGAGAAGCTCATTTCAGTTCTCATTTTAATACAGAAGAACCTAATTCTCAATCCCCCAACAATACATGAACCAAAACACAGTTTTCCTTTTAGATTCACACTGCTCTGAATTTCACAGTGCAGTTTTTCACCCAAGTAATGTTTACAAAAAATTCATAGGGGAAAGTGTAAACAAAATGCATCTTTGGTGAAAATTATTATTATTATTATTATTATTTATTTATTTATTTATTTGTACCCCGCCCATCTGGCTGGGTTTCCCCAGCCACTCTGGGCGGCTTCCAACAAAGATGAAAGATACACTAAAATGTCACATATTGAAAACTTCCCTGAACAGGGCTGCCTTCAGATGTCTTCTGAATGTCAGGTAGATGTTTATCGCTTTGACATCTGATGGGAGGGCGTTCCACAGGGCGGGCGCCACTACCGAGAAGGCCCTACGCCTGGTTCCCTGTAACTTGGCCTCTCGCAGTGAGGGAACCGCCAGAAGGCCCTCGGAGCTGGACCTCAGTGTCCGGGCAGAACGATGGGGGAAGAGACGCTCCTTCAGGTATACTGGACCGAGGCCATTTAGGGCTTTAAAGGTCAGCACCAACACTTTGAATTGTGCTCAGAAATGTACTGGGAGCCAATGTAGGTCTTTCAAGACCGGTGTTATATGGTCTCGGCGGCCGCTCCCAGTCACCAGTCTAGCTGCTGCATTCTGGATTAGTTGTAGTTTCTGGGTCACCTTCAAAGGTAGCACCACGTAGAGCGCATTGCAGTAGTCCAAGCGGGAGATAACCAGAGCATGTACCACTCTAGCGAGACAGTCTGCAGGCAGAGAAATTGCTTGCAAATGTGTACATTTGTGGCATACAACGGTATGTATATCTGATGAATTCTCGGGACATTTAAAAAAATAAAATAAAACTGAAATTAAGAATGGGAAAATGAGAGATGGAGAAAACTGAAACTGACTGACTGATTCATCCATCCTTAAACCAGGTTCACACAACTGACTCCCTGCTTCATGGAGAATTCTGTGCAACTTTGAAAGCTTCCTATGTTTTTTTTTATTATTATTATTATTATTATTATTATTATTATTATTATTTCTGTGTTTTCCATTTTCCGTTTACACATCATTTTGCCTATGTTATAGCCAATAAGTGATATGCTGTCAACAAAAGCTATCTCTTGAAACAATTTTGAAGCCTGAGGAACCACATGGCAAGCATATTCTGTTCTTTCACAAGACTCAGTGAACAGAGAACCACAGCCCATATTTAATAATACCGAGAGCTGATGTGGTCCAGTGGTTGGAGTTTCAAGTCCTACTGTACCATTTAACTCAATGGGTATCCCTGGACAACATGTGATCTTTGCAACTTAGCCTGTAAAATGTGATGGCCACCATATAGGATTGCTGATAGAACAAGCAGTGCAAAAATTGTCTGATAGTCTATTTTAAATGAGGAGGAGGAGCCATTCTTCTTCTTTTTCTTCCTGTGTGTGTAACCTGATTTGTCACCACCTGGGAGGGAATTAGCCTGCAATCTCCATCTTAGGCTCAAGCTGTAATTGGAGCTCATGGCTCTAACATGCAGCCTAATTTTCCTCCCTCCCCGTTTTTGTTTGTTGTTTCTCCTCATCCCACCACCCCTGAACTCAGGGGCAGGGAACCTTTAGCTCTCCAGATGGTTCTGAACTACAACTGCAGTCATAGGTGGCTACTCTTGCTGGGGCTGATGGGAGCTGTAGTTCAGCAACATCTGGAGGACCAAATGTTCCCCATACCTTTCCAAACCTCTGGGACCTCTTTGCCTGCTGAAGAGTCCTGGAGAACTCAAAAGTTGCCACCTTAGGACCATCTTACCCAACTGGGGTGGGCTTTGGTGTTTTAAATGTGTTGACCATGCGGCATTCCAGTTGAAGCCTGAGGGACCTGCATTAACGGAAAAGGGGGACTATTATAAATTGCTGGTAATAATCATGGCTGCCTTTCCTATTTTACAGATGCCTACGATCCCACCAGAGTTGAAAGGGTGTGATGTGGAAAAGACACGAGTCTCAGGAGATGTCTGCCTTCCGCAAATGTTTTGCTGGTTTCCAACACAGGGAAATAGCTTTAAGCTTCCTACAAGCAGTGACTTCAGAGTCTACTGACAAAGCCCTCGTCTCTGCCAGTGGGGGAAATAAGTAGTTCATATCCCACAGCTTTACGGAGCTTGCATGAAAGTGAGTGAGAGAGAGAGAGAGTGCACAAAAACCTCTCACTTTGGAACCATCTGTTTTTTGTAGCATTAGGCCTTAATGCCTCTACTTGGCATGGGTTGGTCATTTTTAAAACTCTGCGGAGCCCTGTTCAGGCAGGATGGTAAACAGGATGAAGATGGGAGGGGTGTGAGGGGAAGCTGGCTTTTGCTCTGTGCAAAATGTAAACAGGGGAGATTAGCAAAATGATTTTTGAAAGAATGCGAATTTTCTGAGCTTAAACCTCCGAACCTCTGCACCCTCAGCTTTGTTTAACTTTGGTCTTCGTAAAGCAGCCAGCCGGCGAGAGACCGCATTTCCAGCTGAGGGGGGTGAGTGCCGAAGGGGATGAAGACTGATTGACTGGCTGTGAAAATCAGCTTGGACTTCTATCGTTTGAAGGGGCTTTGCTTTTTAAGTTCCTTACCTGGCATCTGCAAACAAACAAACACAAAAAAATGCCCCCTCCCCTCTCCCAGACAAATCTAAAACAAAACAAAGTCAAGGCATTGTTTTACATGTAATTACAACCTGTGCAGCCTCTGCCCCCAATTTACTGTTTCAAACCAACACTATAACCACCCTGGCTACTGTTTTGCACTCGCTATTATGAAGTTAGTTCTTTTCTTTTTTCCTCCCGTGGTTATGTTTTTGTAGATTGGACTAGAAACTCTTCGTATGACCCAATTGCTGGTTTAATAGAGCAGATCCTTGTAACAAGGCAACTTTTAAACAGAATGTGATCTCTATTTTTCTACAGTATTAAGCAATTTGCTAACCGTTGGCGAGCAAGTTAAGATATGGGGTGACCCCCCCCCCTTTCTTAAGCTGACAGGCTGTTCAGAGGAGCTAGCAAAGAAGCGTTTACTTTTTATATCTAGTGCACATTCCACACCATCCTGTTCACAGCTGCAACTCTCTCTGTTGTAAAAAAAAGAAGAGGTATGTGTGTATGTGCATATGTGTATATATATCTCCTATAAAGCAAATATGTATGTTTTTAGAAAGGCCAAAGTTTTTATTTTCTTATTGGTTAGATCACTGCTTCTAAGGACCCAACAGTGGCACCAATATTGCAGACTTGAAGAAGTGCACATTTATGAACGGAATGAGTCAGAGTCTGTTGTGTCTTCCTTAGTTCTTGGGCGGGGGGTCCTGTCTCATCCTTTAACTTCAGGATATGGAGGGTGCTGCTTCACACCTGTCTTCAGGTTGCCCGTGGCACATAGGAAGTCACACAAGAAGATGCAACTTTACCCATTTGGGCTTTGGCTGGTACTGAGGTGCTGCAAAGGGGTTAAGGGAGCACCAGCCCCTGTGTCCAGGGTCAAGTCCATGCTGGGGCTCTTAGGCCAGATCTTATAAGCAACTCATAGCACTGGGCTGTCACACTCTATGCATCTGGATTTTTATATTTCCCACTCATTTTGTGTTTTTTTTAAAAATGATAGTTCTTGTGGCCACACCTATTGTTGCCAATCTTTAAAACATTCCTTTCTCAAAATATTCCAAGTGTATTTTGAAAGAACCTTGTACATTCCCCTGGGATTACAGCTGATTTAACCTGTACAACATGTATTTATATATAGATATACTTTTAAATACGACCTTATCTGTTTTTGTTTGCTAAAACACCTCTCAGTTTCCCCCCTCTTTCTGTTTGTATTGGGCGTTTTATATGCTTTTGCCCCTCCCAACCTCCTAAAGCCATGTTATCTGTTAAGCATTTCAAATTCCTAGTATCTTATTTTTGGGAGAACGGTCCTATTTGACCAAATATACAAATAACCCACCTCTTGTGCTTTGGCAATCACAATTGCTTATCTGTAATGCCTGATTCTATTACATAGAATCTTTATTAAATATTTAAAGTTTGTTATACATCTAAACAAGATGGTTGTACGGTTTCCTTTATTGGAACATGTGGATTTTTCTTTCTTCTACAGTTTTGGGTGGCCTGCAGCTCTTCACCCTTTGGGTCCTTCAAAAACTTCAACATAATAGTTCCTTAGCAAAAGAGAACAATCTGTTCAGCAGCAGCAAGTTAGTGGTTCCTGAAACAAATGGATAAATATTGTCAGGTAGCCGATTTAATTTACAAATTTCATATTCTTTAGAAGCTGCTCTTCGTTGTAAAATGTTGTGCAAGAATGGTTTGCAAAATAAGTAATAAAAGCTCAGCAACATCTTTTTTTACAAAATGCAATAGAATTTTCCACATATCTATTCAGAAATAAGTCAATGGGACTTACTCACAGGTAAGTGCATATAGGAGTCCAGCCTCTGTAAAAAAAGCAGCTGCAGTGGACAGTATAAACTTATAGAACAGTAAAACGAGGCACAGGAAGACAGGGAACCTGTCAGATCTTGCCAGGAAGAACAGTCCACAACTGTGACACTAATACTGGAGAGTCCCCCAGCTGTATTTCCCATGGTGGTGGAACAGAGCTGCTAAAGCCAGTTATATGCCTCAGTTTAGGTTTATATGGGTGAAAGCGGTCCTTATGGAAAATTAAGGTCATTCAAAAGTGCATACATCATGACTTGAAACATGATGCAGCCCAAATCTGAGACACCATCTTCCGGGTCTGAAATCCCATGCTAGTCATGTCACCTGCATGAGATTGTGGACTTGAAAAAATCACTTTTTCGGGCATGGTGCAATATTGCAGACCCAAATTAAACACTCTTTCAGGGCAAAAGCTCAGCCTGATATTGTGTGAGAGCAAGGTACCCCAAATGGTTGCCGTACTCTCATGGGGGGGGGAATGCGATGTCCCATTTTTTCTGGTGCAGTTGGGTATGATATATATTTAATCATTTTGGCAACAGATACAGTGGTACCTCGGGTTAAGTACTTAATTTGTTCCGGAGGTCCATTCTTAACCTGAAACTGTTCTTAACCTGAAGCACCACTTTAGCTAATGGGGCCTCCTGCAGTCACTGCGCCGCCGCAGCACGATTTCTGTTCTTATCCTGAAGCAAAGTTCTTAACCCGAGGTACTATTTCTGGGTTAGCAGAGTCTGTAATCTGAAGCGTATGTAACCTGAAGCGTATGTAACCCAAGGTACCACTGTACTAGCAAATGTCATCTACCATATTGAGGCGACTTACCAACATTTACTGGCATATCTCTGAATTTTCAGACGTTCACAAAATGTGGGTTTTATGACATCACAGTAGCACACATCCTGGAAACTAATTTGCTAAACTTCGTGAGAATTTTAACCCTAGGGGTAAACTACAGTTCCCAACATTCTTAGGTGTGTGTGTTTTTAATGTATAGTGTTTACATAGCCATAGATTCATGAGTGATAGCATAGACCATATGTCAGTAGGAGAGAGAATGACAAGTTAATGCCTGTTTAGTCCGCAGATATTGGCTAAACTTATGGAGCAGTTGAGGAAAAGCAGACATTTATTGCTAATTGCTGTTATTCATGCGATTGCCCGCTAAGTCTCTCTGTAGGGGAGTGGAACAAATGCTGCATACCACAATTGTTCATTTTCAGATTGCTAGGAGAGTCCCGTCTCCCTCCCAGTTTGAGCAATGTGTTGGCAACGCAGCTTGGAGAATTACATGTGAGCACATGGGCGAAGGAGGAAGAGATTAGGCAAATTCCACACTCGTATTGACCAACACATGGCGGAGATTAGAAATAAAAATGAAATCCTCCAGCCAAGGAAACCACAATAACATGCTGCTTATGAAACAAACGAAGAAATTTCCATCCTAGACAGCAGAAAACCCTGTCTTCGTGCTGGAAGCCTGTTGGTGAGAATAACCAGACCCATCCCAGGAGGAACAGCTGAGCTCGGAGAAGACAAGAGCATGGAAACACTAGGTAGCATCTTGACGAGTCCCCAAGATGATCTAGTTAAGCAAAGCAGGTGATTTTTCTAGAGAGGCCCTGTGTCTGATTTCTACTGCCAGAAATAAATCAAAAAGTTTTATTCAAGGCAGACCAACCCACGGAGGTTTCAGAGCTAGAAGGGAAAGGAAGAAAGAAAGGCTAAGCAATCACACAGGCCTATGGATAATACCATAAAATTGATGCTTTGCATGCCTCCTTTTATGGTCAGGCAATATCTGAAGAGGACTATCCTTGCTGGGTAATGTTAGAAGTGGCAAGAGCTCTGTTTCCCTTCCTTCCAAGCTGACACTTCATCCCTGTGCCATCTCAACGAACCAGCTCCTTCCAATGCCAGGAGTTAAAAGCAGCAGATTTTTGTTATTGTTGTTTGGCTCTCTGCTCTGGAGGGTGAGGACAGCTTAGTGGCTCTGCAACTCCTGGCAGATTAGTTCCTGCACTATGGAGGCTGGCTTGGCAGATTTGAGGTCCAACTGCAATTCCTGCAAGCAGGAAAGGCTAGGAGAGAAGTCTTAAAACTCCTTCAGAAAATAAGTACTGGTGAGGTGTGGTGGGTATATTGTCATGAAAGATGCATTTGATTTATTTACTTGATTTACAAACCACTTTTCCTCCAAGGAGCTCAAGGTGGCATCCACAGGTTTTCCCTTCCCCACTTCATTCTCACAGTAACCCTGTGAGGTAGCTTGGGCTAAGAGACAGTGATTACAGGTCACCCAGTAAGCTTCATGGCCATGTGGGGATTTGAACCCTAGTCTCCAAGGTCCTAGTCCGACACTCTATATAACCTTTACACCACACTGACTGTCTAGCTGGGGAAACTGCAGGCTCATGACAAAGCCCCAAGTCCAAGTCGATGTGGCAAGTAGTGGCACAGTAACAAACAGTCCCCAACTGCAACTCACAAAAAGGGATGAGAGAGAAGAGATCCATTTGTCAAGAGAATGGATCTTTTGGTCTCTGCTCTGATAAAGCCAGACTCATTCGCTGAAGGCAGCATGGCTTGTCTGTGAAAACAGGGCAACCCCCAAGCACAACATTCAGTCGTGGAGACCTTCTGCCTCCTATTGACCATGGAGAGAATACTGCTCACACCTGCTGGAGACAGAAGACCTGCAGGTAGGGATGCAGAAGAAACACAATTCAGTTTGCATGTACAGTAAAGGTGAACTGATTTGCACTTCCCCAAATAATCTGCAATCCGAAACACGGCCATCCTTAGCCATTCACACCTATCTGAATTTTGCGATACAGTTCTCTAGCTAGGTAATGTGTGCAAAAAATGCATTTACTAGGGTGGAGCGAGCAACAAAATGCATATGTTTGTGAACATAACATTATATCAGGCCAAATGCATAGACAGATTTGTACATTAGGATAAATCCGTGCTAAAATGTTGATGAATTCTCACAAAGACTTTTAAAAGTATTGCAAACTGATGTAGAAATGTGGAGAACAGAACTTCAGGTTGTCAAAAATGAGAAACAGAGTCACCCAGTGGCATAGCGTGGGTTTCAGCACCCGGGGCAAGGCAAGTAATTTGCACCCCCTAACCCGTGGATTTGCGCCCCCTAACCTGTGGATTTGCCCTAACCCCAGATGTTGCGCCCAGTGCGGCCGGCCCCCCCTGCACCCCCCACGCTACGCCATTGGAGTCACCCATCCTTACTGACAAGCAAGTTTCAGCGTTCCAATATGATCTTCTTTTTCTTTCTTTCTTTTTTGCATGCGTTTATGGGTTATCTGATGGTGGGAGGTGATAGTGGAACAGGCTCCCTTGGAAAGTGGCAGGCTCTCCTTCCTTGGAGGTTTTTAAGCAGACGTTGAGTGGCCATCTGTCATGGATTCCTGTATTGCAGGACTAGATGATCCTTTGATTCCCTTCCAGCTCTACAATTCTGTGATTCTATGACCTTGATGCAGCAGAGGACATGCAGTTCTGTATTATAAGTAGCAATGCAACAGCGCTAGTTTTCAAACCAGACTTCTTCTTTTTATAGAGTTCTCTGAAATCTCAAAAGGGACGTGGGTGGCGCTGTGCGTTAAACCACAGAGCCCAGGGCTTGCCGATCAGAAGGTCGGCGGTTCGAATCCCTGCCACGGGGTGAGCTCCCGTTGCTCGGTCCCTGCTCCTGCCAACCTAGCAGTTCTTAAGCAAGTCAAAGCACAAGTAGATAAATAGGTACCGCTCCGGCGGGAAGGTAAATGGCGTTTCCGTGCACTGCTCTGGTTCGCCAGAAGCGGCTTAGTCCTGCTGGCCACATGACCCGGAAGCTGTACGCCGGCTCCCTCGGCCAATAAAGCGAGATGAGCACCGCAACCCCAGAGTCGGCCACGACTGGACCTAATGGCCAGGGGTCCCTTTACCTTTCCTGAAATCTCATAAAGACTTGGCCCATTCCTATTGCTCCCCTGCTAGACCTGTCCTCTGTAAATTAGGATCACTGCAACCACCGCTTCCAAGATTTTTACCAGCACCACCACAACGCCCCTTACAGCATTACAAGAGAGCTGCCGGGTGTCTTTTGGCCAGTGTGTGCTTCCCCCTCTTCAGTACAGAAACTAATTTCTTCCTCCTTTTCATTCCAATTTCATTCATGCTTCCCTTGCAGCAAAGCAGACACCCATCCATCCTGTTCATGGGAGTGGCATATCAGATTGACTAGGCTTGGACTGAGGCCAGCATAGATAGAGCTATTGATAACAAAGAATAATTTCCCTGTTATCCGGAAAGGCCGTGAGCTATTCAGTGAAGATGCTTGTTCTTGTCTCACCCATTCAAACATGACATGGGATGGGGAATTGGACCACCCACTGGCGCCCATCTGTCAATCACCTGGCATCATATGATGTCAGATGATTCTGAGCTCAAGTTACAGCTTGAATTGTGCCCTAATTTTGTGTGCTAACATGGTAGCTGGTACTATTTAGAGCAGACCCATTGGAATTAATGGGTATGGCTAATTTAGGTTCTGTTCAGAGGATCTATTCTGCATAGAACTAACACTGGGTGTAACCT